TCAGCAGCCCACCCTCTGCAGCTCTTTTGTTTTCAAGGCTTCAGCTCAAGGCTCTGAGCTCCCTCCCTTCTTAGGAAGCAGGAGCACTGCCCACCATGGTGGCACATGCCTTTAATCCCCGCATTTGGGAGGCAGAGGCAGGTGGATCTCTATGAGTTGTTCCAGGCCAGTCTGGTCTACATAGTGAGTTCCAGGCCAGCTGAGGTTACAGAGAGACCCTGTCTCAAAAAAAAAAAAAAAAAAAAAAGCAGGCAGGAGCACTTATTTCTAAGGGTAGGTGGAGGTCAAAGGACAACTTTGGGGACTAGGTTCTCTCCTTCCATCATGTGGGTCCTGGGAGTCGAACTCAGGCCCTCAGGATTGGCTGCAAGAACCTTTACTTGCTGAGCCATCTCACCTGTCTCCCCCTCCAATTCCTCCCACTGCTCTTTCTCTTCCTTCTCCTTATATTTGTACTAGTAAATTTATTTATTTATTTATTTATTTAGAAACAGGTCTCATTATTTAGCCCTGACTGGATCTCAGAGATCTGCCTGTCTTTGCCTCTGCATTGCTGGGATTAAGGCATGCAACACTATACCTGGCCTATTTATTTATTTATTTATTTATTTATTTATTTATTTTTATTTATGACTTTCCTGTATCCCCAGGCTGGCTATGTTGCTGAGGGGTCATGCCTCCATCTCTCAAGAGCTGGGATTACAGGTCTGTGTCAACATACCTCTCCATATAGTCTTAGATCTACTTTGGGGCCTGCTTTTCTTTTTTCATTTTTTTGGGGGGACAGGGCCTTACTATGTAGTCCTGGCTGGCCTGGAACTCACTCTGCAAACCAGGCTGGTCTCAAATTCATAGATCCACCTACCTCTGCCTCCCAAGTGCTGGGATTAAAGGCATATACCACCATGCTGGACCTTGGGCTTTTCTGCTTATTCATTTTTCAGTTTACAGTCTTATGTTTGTGACTGAGAGCTTAGAAAATGGAAAACCAGTGGGAAAATGGCAGAAAGGCATTTTAGCCTCTGTAGAAACAGCTCAGAGGCATACTAGAGCCTAGGTCACCAGGCCGAGCCTAGGTCACTAAAGCCAGAGGAGGTGGAGAGCACGAACATTCCCTTCAGAGTGCACAGTGTGACCACCAGCCATCTGCCACTACCTGCGTACCCTCCATCCTCATTTGCTTTTTTATTTTTTTAGCCTACCCATTTCATACCTCTCTTCCAAAGAATGTTCTACCAGCCTAGATGTAGACTATTATCATAAAAGATTCTGCTGAAATTAAGAAAGCTTGAACTAACTGGAGGTAGGAAAGTGACCAGTAATACCAGGCCTCAGGATGCTGAGGCAGAAGGATTGCAAGTTTGAGGACATTCTGCACTAGGCTCAAAATAAAAAGTGAAAAAGAGCCTGGAGACATAGCTCAGTGGTAGAGCACTTAGCATGCACAAAGGCCCGAGTTCAATTCCCAGTACACACACATACACACACACACACACACACACACACACACACACACACACATTGAAACAATATGCTTATCCCTGCATTCCTGAAAGGATTTAAAGATAAACTTGAGGAAAATTTCCCTGAAAGCAGAAAAAGATAAAGAGACATTCTAATGGAAACATGATTTAGATCTACAGACGTGATTGTATATTATTTATATTTGTTATTATATGTACGTAC